AGACTTTCATTTGAGAATATTGAAAATGATTTGTTTTAATGGTCACCTAAGTGCCAAGTGTCCACATTTTATGTATAAAAACTAAGGAAAAAATGTTTTTATTTTTAATATTTTAATTTTAAAATAAAGCTCATTTTGGATCCTTAATAAAAAATACGATCTCCACTTTCATCCCTTAGAAAAAAAGGTCAACTTTTAGTCTCTATACAATTTCAGTTCTTTGAAAATGTGTGTTAGAGAATAATATAAATCATTAATAACGCCCTCACCCAATACCTTAAGGTTTTGGGTTGAATTGATTCTTTACAATGTATCAGAAATTCAATGAAGATCCAATTTAATCTCTAGAAAAAATTAACATGGATAATTTTTTGTATGAGACCATATTTTTTATTAGGGACTGTGTTTTTTATTAGAGGCCCAAACTCTAAATTTTATTTGTGCTATGCTAAAAAAAAGTAAGTGAATCATGTTAAGAAGAGAAGATATAAAAAAAGTTTGTGAGACCCACCTGCTTTTATTTAAATATATTTGTAACATAAACAAATTTTCTAGAACAAAAGTGAAAATATTAAAACTCAAAAATTAATAATCATAAAATAAGAAAGGGATTAATTTAAAATGTGATTGGGTAAGATGCTCAAAATTTGGGGGTCTAGAAGGGTGTTTTGGCAGTTTATTTGGAAAATATAAAGAAAGGGTGAGATGGGGTAACCCCGCACATGGGGTATGGTCAGATCTGGAGGTCTGCAAAATGGTGCCTTTTTAGTAGAGTTGCATATTTAAAGTTTCTTTTGTTGTTTGTTACCAATATTTTAAGGTTGCTTTTTAGAGAGATGAACAAAAAGGCATCTTTGTAATAGTTTGCCAGCCTAGCCTCAGGCTCTGTTCGATGTTCGGTAGCATTGATTAGTAAGGAAAAGAAGAGATATATTGTTGTAATGTTCACTTTTTTCATTTTTTTTCTTCTCCAAATCATATTTATGAAGAAAAGTAAAGGAAAAGGCGGATTAGATTATTTGAGACTTACTGTAGTATATATATGAATTTTATAAGAGTTATGTTGTAAGAAAAGTGATTCTGTCATATTATAAAGATTCGTTTTCTGTATTTTTTTTTTTTGCTTCAAAACATGCGAGACTCACAAAATATGGTGTATTTAAGAAACTTTTTTTTTCATGTTGCATGATGAATGCAAATTCCTATATATATAATATATATATTTCTCTTAAAGAACTGAAAAAAAAATTCTCGTGAGTTTTATATTTTTTTGTCACTTCTTGATTATATAAATCTTTTAAATAAGTCAATTTTAATAAATAAAAGAAAATAAAATAATGATACATTTATTTATATTTACTTTTTATTATAAAATCAAATAGACAAAGAAATATCTATAAATTTTTTTATTAAATGAAGTCAAACAAGAATGTAATTACATTACAAGCTATATCAGGCATATTCTCAAGGACAAAGAAAGACCTACTAGGTTCTCTTTCCCAACTGTGCATGTGTTTCTACTTTCTACTTTGAACTTTCGGACATCCACTTCGTGCGCCAAAAAGAAACCTACCGCACAAACTACACCGTGGCATAAAAAATTAATAAATTTAAAAGGGCGGGATCAAATTACGTTCGATTTTCATAGTTGATTCATAGGATTAATGTTTTTCTTTTGTGTAATAGATACGTACAAAAGAATACGTGAAATTTATATTTTTTTTTCTTCACATTATCACATTAGGTTTCACACACTTTTTTATGAATATGAGATAATTTATCTTCTACAACAAGAGAAAAATAAATTTCTTAATTTATTTATATATTTGATAAATTAATTATTAAATATAAATATAATAAATGACTATAATTAAAAGTATAACAGATATAAAATCATTCTATCTCAATTTTAAATATTTATAACTAATATTTAAATTGTTTTAAATGAATACAATAGAATACACACACATATATATATATATATATATATGAGACATGATCAATTTATTGCTTGTATTCAATAACTCATATAATTAATAAACTAGAGTCATTAGATTAAAATTAAAAATTAAAAATTAAAAATAATAGTGCAACTTACATATATTAAAAATTGGTAAAGCATACATCTCACTATCTCTATGCAATTAAGATTAGAAATTGCTTATATATTACAACATTTCACGTAACTTTAACTTTAGTTTTGATACCATATCTGTAATTATATTGCCTATTTAAGTACATCCCTTAAGTAGTCAATTGAGCTGAGTTACATTTCAATAACTCTTGAATGATTATTAATTTAAATGTGGTTCTAAAAAAAATATAAATATGGTCTAATTTCTTTCACAATATATCATATATACGAGAGCTATAAGGAAAAAGTAAATTTTTAGTACTCTAATTAGCACTAACTGCTATACTATTCCCATAAAAATAGAAATAATAATTCATTTAATTACATTTATTTTATTCACTTCTTTATTTTTAATATAATATAAATTTTTGTATTTCTAATTTTAATGAAAGAAATATGCAAAAGTTTACTCAAATAAAGGATTCGCAGTTCAGGATATAAAAAAAAGGGCAGAATATTCTTATAATGTTACATCAAATTTTGATTATTGATTTATTTATATTTAATGTTTCAAATATTTAATAATTCAGAATTATTAGATATAAATAAAATTAATAATCAAAATTAAAAATATAATTTATGCTGATATAAATTGATCCTTACCCAAAAAAAAGGATTCACGCACACATAATTGGAACAGTGACCATTTTGTCACGTTTGGACAAAAAAATTACCAGACTGTCATGCTAAGAGTAAATTTTGCCAAAATGGCACGCGGCATAATTCGTTACACAGTGTAGCGAATTATGCATGCAAGTAATTCGCTACACAGTGTAGCGAAATATGCTACGTCAGAACCAAAAATGTCACATGTCAAATTTTGAGAAATTCACTACCCTATGTAGCGAATTTCTCAAAATTTGACATGTGACATTTTTGGTTCTATGCATTATGACGTGACATATTTCGCTACACTGTATAGCGAATTACTTGTATACACAATTCGCTATACTGTGTAGCGAATTATGCCGTGTGGTATTTTGACAAAATTTATTGTTGACATAACAGTCTGATAATTTTTTTATCCAAACGTAACACTTTCGTTAATGTCAGCACGTAATTGAGGTATACCAAGATTTTAAGGCTATCAAATTGTTACATAGCCCAATGCAAGCTGTTCATCCACCCATGTTCTTGCTCCAACCGGTTCGAGCAAATTTAGGCGTTATGAACAGTTTTTTGTTTGACGACTTTACCAAATGACTAGTATAACCTGTCATGCATGTAATTGACCCCTGTGATATTTTTGTTGCCTATTTTACCCTCCATTGAGTCTTTGTTATTGCAGTTTTCCTTTTAAGTTGTCCTTGAGACCAAATGTACAATGTCACACTGTGGACATTTTAATTAGTAAAGAAGTGTTTATGCTATAAAACTCTTTGCTTTTTAAGGCCACGGCGTGAAAATATTCAGCTAGTGAAAAAAAAAAGAATTTATAATATAAAATCTATTGAATTTTTTTTTTTAAGTTCTCCTAAAAATTAACCTAATTTAAACAAGCACTTAGTAATAAAATCTTTAAAAGAATGAGATAGACGTTATTTGAATCGGATATAGAAAAATAAGGTTTGGCCTCCAATATCAATGACTCAAAGTTAAAGTTTATTTTATCCTATTTTGTAATTTTTTTCTTTTTATAAATGAAAGAAATGTTTTCCAGCATTTGGTTTCCATTTTCTTTTTCTTTTTTTCTTTTTTTTTTGTAATAAGCATTTGGTTTCCATTTTCATTTCTATATAATAATTACCAAGTCTCATGGCACATTCAATAATTGTGAATGAAAAGTAGGACGATCCTCTCTCTTTTTTTCCTCTTCATTGGGTGATGTGAAGTTATCACTGTTTTGGTTTTTTTTTTCCTCATCTGATTTCTTTAAAAAAATTCTTTTCAATAATACGGAGTGTAACGTTTGGTCATTTCAGGATTAATAATTATCCCCATAAATTAACACAACACAAGATTTTTCAGTTTATTTTATCCTCACTCACATATTTTTTGAGAAACTTTTGGGAAGGCCACTTATCTCAAATTGTTCCAAGACAAGCACACTTACTTAATTATGAAGTTCTTGAGTTATGGATTATAAAAAAGTAGAAGATCTTATTAGTATAGGTAATACTATTATTTCCTTTAAACTATATTAAACTGTACAATTTCATACATGTACAGTCTCTAGGTTCCTCTTGTTCAAGTGTTAATTTAATTTATTCATATACCCCTCAAGTTAGAAGCTTGCTTGGAGCCGTTCCTTATTCGTGTCTCATCTCTTTTTACATCAACAATCACTTCTCATCCTCGTTAGCTTTATATTGTTACACAAAGTTTAACTTATTTTTTCCAATCATCAAATAGAATATATTTATAATACACATCATATTAACACGAGGCAATAAAATTAGATGTGATTATGCACAAATTTTAATGAATCAAATTGTAAATAAACGATAAAAACTGTACAAATATAAAAATAACATAAACAAAAATATGTGAACCCCTCATTATCAAATCAAATTATCAACTTCTTTTATAGCTATTATTTATTTTCTGTAAAAAATATAGTGATAAAAAATAAGGTGTCCCAACATATATATGAGAAATAGTAAATATAATGAGCTGAAGGCTGTTATCCAACATGGATCTTGTTATACAGTGACCATTAATCAATGTTATGGAAACTGCAGACAGTAGTTGGTAATTATCTGAAAAAACCAAGGGCACTTTCCCAACCTCTCCACTATAAATTCTTAAGCTCTCGCATTATTGGAATCCCCCCAATCTTTGGTTTTCTCACTCTCCGATAAATTTCTCTCTGCGTTGCAACAAAAAGAAGCAGAGAACACACAAAGCCAACACAGAAGCAAAACAAATGTCATCCAAATGCAGCAAAATCCGCCACATTGTTCGGCTCCGCCAGATGCTGCGGCGGTGGCGCAACAAGGCACGCATGTCGGCGAATCGTACACCGTCCGATGTGCCAGCTGGACACGTGGCGGTTTGCGTGGGCACCAACTACACGAGATTTGTGGTGCGCGCGACGGACCTGAACCACCCCGTTTTCAAGAAGCTTCTAGTTCAAGCCGAGGAAGAGTACGGCTTCTCCAACCATGGACCCTTGGCCATCCCCTGCGACGAAGCGGTTTTCGAAGAGATTCTCCGGTTTATTTCCCGGTCCGACTCTGACAACTCCAACCGGTTCATTAATCTCGAAGATTTTCAGAAACACTGCCACGTGGGGATCAGGAACAACCTCGACTTCTGGCCCGAATCTCGACCGCTCCTCCATGGTCTACCTGACAAAACGGTTTGGTAGCTTCCGAACCGAACCAAACCGGATGGTTCCGGTTCTGAACCGGGTAATAGTTTTTTTTAGCTATATGGGGTTTCGAGCAGGGAAGAGCGAGTTAAGCTAAATGGTGACTCGGCTGAGTTGTCCGAGTTGGTTTTGAAAACAAATTGGGATTTTTACAATTACCCCCAAACACAGAAGGTAAATTGTGGGCTTCACTTTCACCCACATTTTCTTTTCCATAATGGTGTACATAGCATAAGCACGTTAAAATCTCTCGGAGTATTGGTTGTGAAAACCAGGGCTTAGTGAGTGTATTTTATGTGATTTGCACAACACACAACCATTGTTAGTATGCTCCGGGGAATGCTGAGGAGATGGCACAACGGTGAGTCGTCCTGGGTTCGGATCGGAGTGGAAGCGGTGAGTTGATAACGGTTTTCTTCAAGCTGAGTTATGAGTCTCCGACTCGGGTAACTTTTGTATTCTATTATTGTGTATGTATTTTTTTAAGGAAAAAGTGTAAAAGCATGTGTTATTTTAAGTGAGAGAAGGAAATAGATGATCAAGTAGAGAATGGACAAAAAAATAAAACAAAAATATAAGTCACATCTCTTTATAAGTATAAAATAACATAACTCATGTCATTTTAAAAATATAAATATTTTTTTTTAATTCATGGAAGAATGAAAGTGAAATTGGAGAGAAATTTCAAATTTGAAATTTCGCCGTACTTTCTCTGTTATTGTTGTATTGTCTCCGTAATAGTGTCATCTTTGACACCTAGTAACGTGGTATACCAAAAATATAATTGAATTTTAATAGTCATGTACTTTTTTGTGTTGAATATTTACTATAATGGTTGTTTGTTTGTGTGCGGATGTTGCAATCGCGGTAGCAGTTGTGGGAGTTATAATGACACAAACCCACGTGAAAGCAAAGCAAATAAAAGTGTCTCTCCTCTCACTTGTTCTGTTTTCACCTGATTCCGGTTTGTCCTAACTCGTAAGTCCCAACCATTCACTTTATATTTTTGGGGTAACTGGGTACACGTACCCGTTAAAAGTTCATGTGTAAAACCCTATAAAAATGTATACTTTCTGGTAGCGTTTTCCTCTCTTCCAATCCTTAAACATTTATTTCAATGTGTTTATCGTGAGGGGCCGTTTGGTACGAGGTATTTTTCCGGATTCCTGGAATCTGAAATTTTTAAAATTTTAAATTTTCAGATATTATTGTAAACTAAATATAAAAATTATATTTTAAAAAATTGAGATTCTCGGGTAAAAAAAAAATTTCTCCTATACCAAACGCTCCCTGAGTTACTTCATGAGGTATATAACTGAGATGATTACACTATACAAAATTTCATCTTTGGTAATAAATAATTGGAGACACGCATAATTTAGATGATAAGCAACCAATAATATGGAATCTTTTGACCTGATTACGAGGCTTGCATCTCTCAGTTCGGGAATTTTCTAATTCATAACCCAATGTTGGAATACCTTTTTTATTGCTTAATACAATATTACAATCAATATCAACGGACTAGCTGTCTTGCAATATATATATATATATATATATATATATATATATATATATATATGGGGTTGCATTTTCTCATGCAACATGAGAGAAGCTTATATGGGGTTGCATTTTCTCATGCAACATGAGAGAAGCTTTTCTCCTACACATACAATCAAGTGGGCCCACTAGTTTAAATAAAAAAGAAAAATGAAAGAAAATATTAACACGGAAATCGAGCTCTCACTAACATGAGAGAAGGCTATTCCTACAACATGAGATTTATTTATCCCTATATATATATATATATTAATGTTTGAATTGAAATTGAGATACTGATGCAAGTTCTTTCCTTCTGAATCAGGTAGATTCATATCTGAACGAGGTTGGCAATAAGTTCTTTTAAAATTGACTATTTCTCCCTTTGTTAGAGGTGTTCCATAAATATCTGCGATCTAGTAAATAGCTCTATGAATGAATGGATTATATCGAATTGAAAAATGGAAAGATTTGTGCAAGTTATTGTTATTTGTATAGACAATTTATTGGTTATGAATAAAAAGTGAATTTAAGGAAGAAAAGAAAAAAGAGGGAAGTTGAAGGGGTGTGTGGGTTTTAAGAAGTCCCACATTGGACAACTAGTAAGAGGTAAGAGAGTTGATAAGCTCCCACTTCACACTCCTAAATTGCCTCTTGGGGCACTACACTTTTGTGGAGGGAAGAGGAGCTGGGTGGCCTTTGGTCCACCACACACACACGCTGCCGCTGTCCAGCTTGGATCGGTTCGGTTCATAAAAATAATTTTTTATTAAATTATTTTATTAATTTTTTGTCCAAAATACCCTTGCCCATATCCGTTGTTTCCTTCCAAAATTCTTCAACCTAAATGTTCCTTCTCGCTGATTTTTTGAACATTTTGAACCGAATCGGTTCTTGCCTTTATGTTCAAATTGACGCGTTCATTCATAATTGGAACGAATCGGTCATCAGTTGTACCTGTTACCGAACTGGTCATCGATTGTACCTGTTCGCGGCCCCAAGTTACTGCGGTTCGCCGCCGCCAGCGGTTCATCATGACCGGTCAGTATCTATATATAGACCCTGACCTCTTCAAAAATTTATCTGCTTTTATGCACTGATACTCTGCCGGATTTTTTCCTTCATCCGGTCTTGCATTCTCCTTTCATAGTTTCATTGTAATTCCTCTGGCAACCTGTTGTGTTTCGTTCGGGTTGTTGACTAGTAGTGTCACCATTCTTCAGACGCAATCCATTCTATCTTGGGAGACAAGTGTCCATCAATCTTCGGCATCAGTGAGGGGGCAAATTGTCTTAAGGAGACACTTTCTGTGGGCTCAGATTTTCTACACTATTATGCATACATTGATCATTTTGTTCCATTATCTGACATACTGTAAGTCTGTTCTAATTTCCTTTATTACACTGTGTTTGATAGTTGTGATTACTAATCTTTTCTGTTCTATACACGGGTTCAAACCTCTTAGTAATTTTTTATGTCACCCACTGTCTTCTGAACAACAATCTTAAGACAATTTGATATTTTGAACCTGTAATCAGTATATTCTGTTTGCTATTTTATATATTGTTCTTTATTTACTGTGTGATTACTATATTAATCTATGTGATTAATTTTTGTTTTTATTTGTGTAACAGAAATGGCAAGTGGAAGTGCAAACTCTGCCAATCCTTCTGCTTCTGTTCCAATTCACGTTGACAGACCTAAAAAGCTTAATGGAACAAATTTCAAGCGTTGGCAACAGAAGATGTTGTTCTATTTGACAACACTGAGTCTGGAACGTTTTCTCAAAGAAGATGCTCCTAATTGGATTAGGGAGAACAACCTGACAAGGAAAAAGTTGTTGCCATTGATGCTTAGAAGCATTCTGATTTTCTTTGCCGAAACTACATTCTCAATGGTCTAGACAACACATTGTATAATGTGTACAGTACCCTGAAGACTAGTAAGGAACTTTAGGATAGTCTGGACAAGAAGTATAAAATCGAGGATGTTGCCTTAAAAAAGTTCATCGTTGGCAGATTCTTGGAATTCAAGATGCAAGACTCCAAATCTGTTATGAGTTAAGTTGAAGAACTTCAAGTGATTGTGCATGAAATTCATGCAGAAGGAATGTCTCTGAGTGAGTCTTTCCAAATTGCTGCTTTCATAGAAAAATTACCAAATTCTTGGAAAGATTTCAAGAATTATCTCAAGCATAAGTGTAAGGAATTGTCACTTAAAGATCTGATTATGAGATTGAGGATAAAGGAAGATAATGAGATTCCTGATAAGAAGAATGGAAACAATCCTATGGTCTCTATGCTAATATTTTTGAAGAGGGATTGTTGCGAAATCGGCAAGTATACCGTTCGTTTCAAGTAATAAAGTGATAAGTTATAAGAATATCGTCCCACGAGGATTGAGGTGCCAAATTAAATTAACTTTTCCTTTCTTATTGGATGAACAAGAGTTGATTTGAAAGTAATGGTGTTTGTAACAATTGTGAATTATTCAATAATTTATGAACAATTCAAGAGAAGTTGAAAACTTAAAGCAAAAGGGGTTGAGATTTGAGAAAATATTGTAAGAAAACTATTGCAGTAATGGACGCCAACACCTTTCCGATCCCCACCTTGTAATAATGATTAATATTTATGTTTAATTACCCAATTGATCAAACAATTCACCATCTATAATTAATTAGTTAAGCCCTAGTCCCTTAGTGATCTTAACCTTATTAACCCTATTGGAATCCTAATCCCTTAGAAATCCCTTTTCAAGTTAATCTTTAAGCCCAGTGAATTTTCACATTTGCAGTTCATATAGCCTATCCCTAGTGCATACATGAACAGTTATCTTACCCTATGTCAGGAATTAGAATCCCAATATTCTTATTGTAAACCCTAACCCTCGAAATCCTAATAGAGTCGCGAATTCTAAAAGAATTATGGGATGAAGAACAGAGTAAAATAAATTCAATTGAATAATTAACCATAAACTTAACCAAAATACAAGGGGTTCACATCAAGGGTTGTGACCCTTACCACAATATAAAAGACTAGCCAGACATATTCATGTATGACAAAACAAAATATTCAAAAGAATTCATAAAAACAAAAAGAAAAAGAAGAAAAAGAAGATGAATGATCTTCAGCGTGAGCCTCCAAGAATTCTCTCCAGACCAAGATGTTTTGTTCTGAGGTCTGAGTCTCTATTTATAGAGTTTATGCCTTACTTAGAAATCTTGATCAAATCCTCATAGAATCTTCACTAGAATCTCTAATCATATCTTTGAATCAATCCTTCAAATCTTCTAATCATATATTTGACCAAATCCTTCAAATCTTCCTTTTTTTAATTTAATGGAAAATTTCCTTAAAAGTATTTAAAGGAAGATTTGATAAAATCTTCAATGATTCAGAAATCCAAAGCAACTCTATTTGATATCTCCAATTATCTCTTTATTGAACTGAAATTAC